TTGATTTGAAAGAAACAATTAATCATTAATTCCATACAGCATAATTAAACATTTAGAGTAGAGCTAGCTCTAAAGTTTGTTCACCAACCTCCAAAGTCAAGGAAGGGTTCCACCAAAACCAAAATACAACAAAATCTAAATGACTTTAACAAAATACCTCCAAAAATTATCAACAACACTTGCATCAATAGCTGTAGCTGTAACTTTAACAATATTGTTATCTAATTTTTTTTGAAAAGATATATTATTATCTAATTGAACAATAAAATTATCATAAATTAATATAGTCGCGAACATACAGGAGCATTACCCGTTGACTTTGATTGTAATGATTCGCTGTGTGTGTGCGCGCGTATATAACATCTACTTCTATATGTACACGGGAAGTACTTTACCATCCAAAAAGGTGGGAAAATTGCTTTCCTATGTAATGAAAATATTATGATCTTTAATTATAAAAGCATTTCATTAAATAATTTTCATCAGATTTTTTTGAACTTTCATGTTTCATATTTGTACAGAGGGGAGCCAAAGCTTTTTTTCATAATTCAATTTAATTCTTATTATGTTATATTTATTAATTATTTTTTGGAAAATATTTTTATTTCCTATTAATTCATTAACAGAAAAAAATTTATTGAATTAGTATTTGTACCATAAAATTTTAGAATATCAGTAAAGATACATAAATTAAAAGTATTATTGTACATAAAATTAATTAAATACAATTATTATTTATTCTTTAAAAAAATTTATCCATAACCAAACTCAGTATTATTGCACGTATTTCACTTGAATGGTTTTGTACAATGCGACCAACCATTTATATAAGATCAAGAGAGAGACAAGAATAGGAAATTTCATTATTGTACAATGATATTCTATTATAATGTGAAATTTGGGTCAATAACCATATTAAACTTATAATCTTGTAATTATTGACTCTAATTTTTTTTTTTTTTTTTTTTGGCAAAAGAAGAGCAGAACAAAAAGCAGAAACCTATTTCAAAAAGTCAATGCTACAAGCATCAGCCTAAAGAATCAAAGACAAGGAACTGGGACTAGCTTCCCAAATGAATAAAGAAGATGGGATGACATGCCCCAACTTAGCCAAATGATCAGCAGCAGAATTAGCTTCACAAAACACATAATGGATAGAACACTCCCAATCACGAGTCATCAAGTTCTGAATATCCAAAATAAGAACAGACAAAGGATGAGCAATAGATAACCCTGAATTCACCAGCCTAACAACCTCTAAACAATTAAACTCAACAACAACCTTACGGAAACCACAGTCCCAAGCAAGAATAACCCCTGTCCGAATTGAGGACAACTCACCAACTAAAATAGTAGAGTGACCAATATTAAGAGAATAGCCTCTAAGCCACCTCCCCAAGCAATCACGGAACACATCACCACTACTAGTCAACCCCGGATTAGTAAGACTACTACCGTTACAATTTAACTTCAACCAACTCTCCTGAAGCTTAACCTAAGCCACACAAAATTGCCTACTAACTCTAGCCGAAGAAACAGCAAGAGTAGAAGAATTCACAATATCCAAAGCTACTTTAAAAATACAACGATTTAAAGCAGAAACAACAAGAAGTTCATTTTGAAAAACATACAAGTTTCTCGCTTTCCAAACCCACCAAATAGCAGCTATGCCAGAGAACCAAAGGACCAGCATTGCAATAATAAATTTAAACGCAACCCACAACACAACATCATCCACCAAAAAAAATTAGAGCAAACTCCACTCTACCACCTCCCACACCACAACAAAATCACGAAAAAAACCAACAGCAAACTCACCTCCATAGAACATAAATACAAACTAGAAAGCTTATATCTTTCTGAAACCGAAAAATTAGCATCAATACCAACATGCACCTCCTCCAATAATAAAGATAAATAGGCTGTTTTAACAGAATACTCATCATTAGAAGAAAAAATTCACAAAATGAAATCCTGAATAGAAGTAACGAAAAGAAAGAGGAACCGTATAAATTAAGCACTTAATATCATCAGGAAGACAAATACGTAACACAGAAAGATTCTAAGAACCATTATGAATAAGATTGCCACCGAAGATGCTCCTCACCCCTATAAATAGACTCTACCAAATCCACCAAAGGACCCACAGGCAACCAAGAATCATACCATAAACTAATTAGTCGACCATCCCCTACCCGTCAAGAAACATGAGACTGAAGATAATGGAAATTACGAATAATCTCCTTCCAAGTACAAGAATCACAACCCTACAAGACTGGAAGAAAAGAGCAACCATGACAAAATTTATGTATCAAAACATGGACCCAAGGAGCCGAGTCATGCATAAAAATCTTCTAACCCCAACTTACCCAACATAGTAACATTAAACAATCGGGCACTCTGGAAATCAAACCCCCAAACTTTTTAGGCTTAATAAGCCAATTTCATCCAACCAAATGCATCTTACGATGCTCCACCATAGACCCCTAACAGAAATTACGAGACAACTTATCAATAGTCTCACAAATAGAAGAAGGTAACCATACAGTTTGCATAGTATAAACAGGTGAAGAAGAAACATAAGATTCAATAAGAACTTCCTCACCGGTAGGTCTAAGAAAATGGGACCTCCAATTTGCCAAACAAACCTCCACCTTCTGAATAATGTCCTGATACAGCGCCACAGAAGACCGCCCATAAAATAAAGGAACCCCTAGATACTTGTCTAAATATCCATATATGCTTTTGTCAATTAAAAATCTGTAAATGATCTTTAATTATTAGTTATAGAATATAAGATAGTTTTGGAATCAAACTATTGTACTATTGAGTAAAGAGTAAGTGCATTTAATTCAGTTTATTCGGTTTAAAATTAGTTCGATTTATTTTTCAATTAAACTGTTATGTTGATTCTGTTTTCTTTAATATACATTTTTATATTTGATATATTTAATTTTTAATAATGAAACAAATTAAACTTTATGGTTTAAAAGCAAATTTTAAAGTGCAAAAATTGAATAATTTTTTCATACATGATATCAAATTATGATATTTGTATTCTCTCTCGAGGGTGGAATAAATTCTGGAATTTTTAAAAAAAATCAGAATCTTGTAATAATTAACATAAATAAATAGTAGCTCTCTTATTGAAAAATTAATCAGAGATTATCTATTTTCTTTTGATTAAAATCCATACATAAAAATATAAATATTGACCCATGGCAAACACCTGGGTTAAATCAATCTGAAACTACTTATTTTAAAACCATTTATCATTTACATCAAATATTATATGTTAAATATAATAATAGAAATATCCAACATAAATTGTAACAATTTAAATATATTGTTGAAAAAAAAATTTAAATATAATAATTTTCAAGTGATTCATCATTTAAACCAATTATTAATTTTCAGATGAGCTGGTTCTAATTGGTTTTTTAATCATTGAACCCAATTTTTTACTTTTTCCGTTCTTTTCATCAATCAAACTGGACCAATAGTCAATATGTTCATGAGCTAACCAATTGGCCGGTCAGATTTGATTGGCTCAAATTTGATTACTAACTCATGATCAAATTAATTGAAGATAAATGATTAGTTAAATCACGTTGCTACATTCGGTTCTTAAATACTTATCACATTTGAAAAGATATTATATTCTAAAATACTTATTACATTTGTGATTTTAAAAAGTATTAACTTTTTTTTTCATATTTACCCTCTGTATATGATCAATAATTATTGTTTAAATTTAGTGTTTGGATATATTTAATTAAGGGTAATATAATCAATTTACTCAATAATTTATTGTAATTAAGACAAACTTAATAATTTTTTTAGAATACGTGAAATTTCAAATGTGATAAGTATTAAGAAATTGAGATAATAATAATTATATATCCTTTTGTTAACTTTTGGAAACAACCATGGATAGGAATGAAAGAATTTCATGTTTGACAAAATCTATTACTCCATCCTGAAGAGGAGAATTAATAGGTCAACCAAGAGTACCAATTCATCTCGGTGATTTTGTGTGCAAGCTTGTACATAGACATTAGCGTAAGATATGATCATGACTTATTAGGTGTTGCCTTTATGAAATACGTATGGCTGAATTCGGAAAAATCAATTAAATTGACTAAGGTCAAATTGATTAAATCTAAAACTTAAATTAAAATAATAAGAATATCAAGCTGAACGAACTTCTTTGGTTCGGTTTTATAAACAATTTGATTTGATTCTATTTTCTCTAAAAATATTTGATTTATTTGAATTTTATCGAACCAAACAGACCGAATCCTTATTCATACTCTAATTAACTTTAAAAAAAAGGGTAAGAATTTATAATACAATACAGTGACTAAATTTTAAGTAATTAAAGAAAGAAACAAAAGTTTAAGATAAAAAAATAATAAATTTCCTCCATTTAAATATTGCCAAGCTGAGGATATAAGCGACTGTTTGTAGCACGCATAGATCAGGTTTAATCGAGACATCAAATTCAAAGATAGAAGGAAATAAAAAAAAGGGTTATGTTTGAATTAATCCTATGTTGCTATGTAATCCATTACACTAATCATGATTTCATCTTTTAAAAAAATTTCAGAGAGAGAGAGAGAGCACGGATGATAATTCATCTAAAGACTTTCTAGAAAGTAGAAACATCCCTGTCCTCCACTTGCTGTTCATAGTCTTTAAGTGACGAGCTATTTTAAATATTACTGTATTAAGTCAACAATATCCGCATGCATATCCCCACTTGCACTGACATTAAGAGGAGACCACCTTTACTAGCATATGCACCTTCATCTTCATCTCTGAATATTGCATTACAGACACACTATGACTTACACAATTCTTCTTCTCATCATATTATCTCTGTGCACCACCAACTGCAATGGTCAAGATCCTTTAGGTAATTTATGCAATGATCAACAAACTAATAATAAAACTACCATCCAAAATATCAACCACTTAATAACCGAGCTAGTTTCAAAAGCTTCTTCTTCCGGTTACTTCACCACCACCTCCGGCCAAGGCCAAGATAAAATATACGGCCTAGCGCAATGCAGAGGTGATGTTAGCACCGACGACTGCTCCGGCTGCCTCCTTGACGCTGCCAAAGAAATCGGCCAGCGCTGTCCGAATCAAGTTGATGCAAGAATTTGGTATGATTATTGCTTTTTAAGGTATAGCAATAAAGATTTTATCGGAAAGCTTGATACTTCTTATGCTCTTTTTTACATCAACGTTGAAAATGTTACGGTGATAGACCCTGAAGCTTTTAACCGAAAATTGGGGAATTTGATTGATGAAATTAGATCAGAAGCTGTAATGGAAAAGAGTAAAGGGATTGGTAAAGGGGAGACAAAGTTGACACCTTTGGTTACACTTTATGCATTAGCGCAATGTACAAGAGACTTGGCTGTTGTAGACTGTGCTCAGTGTATAGCCATTGCCGTCGGTAATTTCCCTAACTTCTGTAACAACAGAAAGGGTTGCAGAGCTATTTACAGTAACTGTTATGTCCGATATGAGCTCTATCCATTTTTCTTTCCTCTCGATTCATCTAATAATTCTTCATCTGTTGGTAATTGTGTTGTAAAGGTTTATCCTTGAATTGGAATCTTTATCACCAGAAGCTCTGTTGAGCTATAAATTAATAATACTTGTTGTAAGAAAAAAATAATTAACCATATTAAACTTATAATCTTGCAATTATTGACTCTAATTTTTTTTTTTGGTGGGCAAAGAAGAGCAGAACAAAAAGCAGAAACCTATCAAAAAGTCAATACTACAGGTATCAGCTCAAAAAATCAAAGACAAAGAACTAAGATTAGCTTCCCAAATTAATAAAGAAGAAGGGATGACATGCCCCAACTTGGCCAAATGATCAACCATATAATTAGCTTCACGAAACGCATGATGGATAAAACACTCCTAATCACAAGTCATAAAGCTCTGAATATCCAAAATAAGAACAACCAAAGGATGAGCAATAGATAACCTTGAGCTCATCAGCCGAATAGCCTCCAAACAACCAGACTCAACAACAACCTTATGGAAACCACGATCCCAAGCAAGAATAAGCCCTGTCTGAATAGAGGACAACTCACCAACTAAAATAGTAGAATGACTAATATTAAGAGAATATCCTCCAAACCACCTTCCCTAGCAATCACAAAACACACCATCACTACTAGTCGACCCCTAATTAGTAAGACTACTACCATTACAATTTAACTTCACTCAACTCTCTTGAGGCTTAACTCAATCCACACAAAACTGCTTACTAACTCTAGCCAAAGAAACAGCAGGAGTAGAAGAATTCACAATATCCAAAGCTACTTTAAAAACACAATGACCTAAAGCAAAAACAACAACAAGTTCATTCTGAAAAACATACAAGTTCCTCGCTTTTCAGACCCACCAAATAGCAGCTAAAAACCAATGATGCCAGGAGATACCAAAGGGACCAGGCATGTGCAAGGATGAATTTAAATGCAATCACAACACAACATCATCCACCCAAAAAATTTAGGAGGCAAACTCCGCTATTGCGACCATGCCAGCACCACAACACAATCACGAAAAAGATGCACCCCTCTCATAAACATAAACTACAAGATTAGGGAAAGAGTTCATACCTCTCTTAAACCAAAAAGAATTGTCGTAAAAGCTATGCAGAATCAACCAAGAAATGTCTCAATTTAAGGCAAACCATCAACAACCAAATCCATGAGAAAAGAATAAATCAATACCTACATGCAACCTCCTCCAATATAATAAAGATAAATAGGCTGCTTTAACAAATATTCACTATTAGAAAAAAAATTCACAAAATGGAGTCCTGAATAGAAGCAACCAAAGGAAGAGGAACCGCATAAATTAAGCACTTAATATCATCCAGAAGACAGGTACGTAACATAGAAAGATCCCAAGAACCATTATGAATAAAGTCGCCCACCCGAAGATGCTCCTCACCCCCAAAAATAGACCCTACTAAATCCACCAAGGGATCCACAGGCAACCAAGAATCATACCATAAACTGATTAGTCGACCAGCCCTTACTCGCCTAGAAACATGAGACTGAAGATGCTGAAAACTACGAACAATCCCCTTCCAAGTAAAAGAATCACAAACCTATAAGACCGAAGGAAAAGAGCGACCATGACAATATTTGTGAGTCAAAACCTGGACCCAAAGAGCTGAGTCATGCATAAAAATCTTTCAACCCAACTTACCCAACATAACAACATTAAACAACCGGGAACTTTGGAAACCAAACCCCAAAACTTCTTAGGCTTAATAAGCCAATTCTACCCAACCAAATGCATCTTATGACGCTCCACCGTAGGACCCTAATAAAAATTACGAGACAACTTATCAACAGTCCCACAAATAAAAGAAAGTAACCACACAGTTTGCATAGTATAAACAGGTAAAGAAGAAACAGAAGATTTAATAAGAACTTCCTTACGGGCAGGATTAAGCAAATGGGACCTCCAATTCGCCAAACGAACCTCCACCTTCTAAATAATGTCTTGATACAGCGCCACAGAAGACCGTCCATGAAGTAAAGGAACCCCCAGCTACTTGCCTATATCTGAGATAACTGCGACACCAAATAATGGCTGGAACCTATGTCGCATAGGACGAGAGACCGTTCTAGAGAAAAAATTGCAAGATTTGGCCAGATTAGCCTTCTGCCCACTACCCCCGTAAAAGTCCACCAAAACATCATGAACTACTTTAGCTTACCGAACAGAAGCTTTCTAAAAAATAATCAAGTCGTCGGCAAATAGCAAATGACTAATATGAGGACCACCCTTCGAAGCACAGGCCGAACCCACTTTTTCCTAACCACCTGACACTGAATCAGTAAAGATAGCCCCTCCATACAAAGGACAAACAGATACGGGGATAAAGGGTCACTCTAATGCAGACCCCAAGAAGGCACAAAATAACCAGAAGGACTCCCATTCCAAAGCAGTGGTAAAGAAGACTGGGCAAGAGCACTCATAATCAAAGAAACCCATAAGTTGGAAAAGCCAAAAGAAACCAGAACAAACAGCAGAAAATCCCAATTCACTCTTTCATAGGCTTTTTCCAAATCAACTTGCAAAGCAAAATGAGTCATTTTAGACTTAGATCTTCGGAAAGAATGAAGAAGCTCCTGAGTGATAATAATATTATCAACCGTAGTACATCCCGAAATAAAGCTACTATTAAAAGGACTAATCAACCCATCTATAAAGGGAAGACTCAAAACCTTTATAACCACCTTATATAAGACATTACAAAGAGTGATCGGCCTGAACTGAGAACAATACAACCTTGGGAATGAGTACCTTAGGAATGAGAACAATAAAACCTTTGGCCAAATGGAGATCCATCACACCAGTGGAAAACGTGTGATTAACAAAGGAGACCACCTCATCACAATATCCCAGTATCTTCTTAAAAATAAAGTTGAAGAACCATCAGCCCAACCCATCAGGCCCCGGAGCTTTAAAAGAATCCATACTAGAGACCGTCGCCCAAACCTCATCCCTAAAAACCGGCCTCATCATATCTGCCATAACATTTGCTGATAAATGAGGAAAAATAATACTAGAGAACACAGACGGAGAAAATTGAGAATCAGTAGAAAGCAAAGAACATAATAATCACAAGCTAAACCCTTCAGAGTAGGAGGATCCGAAATCCAATCACTTTTAAGACATTCGATCTTATTTTATTTTCAACAAACCCGAGTAAGAGCATGATAATATTTAGTGCACCGATCACCACCCCGAAGCCAAGAATTGAGAGATTTCTGAAACAGAAAACTTCCTCCTGTTGTAAAATCAAATTATACTAAGATAGCAAATCCTTCTCTGGATTAAGAAAGAAGGTAGAGACCTGACGCTACAAAGCTGAAGCTGCCTGAACCCCCTTAATACGATGAACAAGGACCCACTTATTATAATGGATATTACCAAACACTTCCCGGTTCCAACTACAAGCCTGCTCCTGAACATTAGAAAGAGTAATAGATATAGAAGAATGTAGCTGAGCCCAAGTCGACTACCAAACACTTCCCGGTTCCAACTACAAGCCTGCTCCTGAATATTAGAAAGAGTAATAGATATAGAAGAATGTAGCTGAGCCCAAGTCGACTCTACCACTGCTTGGAAATCTTCCCTAGTAGCCCTAGCAGCTTCAAGCTGAAAAGGCTTAAATACAGGGACAAGAGGAAAACCTTTAGTAGCCAACAATAAAGGAAAATGATCAAAAGCAAGACGAGGCAAAGACGCAACAGACGCCTCAGAAAAAGCAAACCGCCAATCTGAATTACATAAAGCCCTATCTAGACGCTCATGAATGACCCTAACACCGACAATAGAATGAGTCCATGTGAACTGACACCTTGACCAACCCAAATCCATCAAGGAACAACAGTCCCAATTATCCAAAAAGCGCCTACAATTTAAAACAGAAGCAACAACACCACCTATCTTCTCCACGGGGCTAGCAATATCATTAAAATCACCAAGGCGCACCCAAGGCACAACCATTTGACCAGCAATATCAAACATCTGAGACCAAAATAAATCCTTCTGAGAATGGACAAGACTAGTATAAACAATAGTTAAAAACCAAACATTATAACCAGGCACAAATATAGAACAATGCACAAATTGAGAATTAACTTACAGCTCATGAATACTACAAGAATAATTTTGCCACAAAATCCAACACCACCAGCAAAACCAACAGGATGAGAAAGATTAAATTCAAAAAATCAAGCTTACGAGCTACAGAAATAGCACGAGCATCAGAGATACGAGGCTACACAATAATCAAATATCAGGTCTGTGCAATTGATGAAACTCCTTAACCTGAATTCTATAACCCCTTTTAGCCGCACCACCACAATTCCAAATAATAACTTTTAAATCCATAAAAAATGAATTAAAAAAAGAACACAAGAAAAACTCCTTTCAATGAGACTGCTGAGGGCTAGGGCTACGACTACGAGAGTGACGGTCGGACAATACAGTACCTCCAGCCGCAACACCACCAGAAAACGGCTCTTCATTATCGTCACTAGAAAAAGAACCTGATGCCACGTAGTCAGCACCAACCCCACCAATACCAGCAAACTGTGCTTGTAAAATCAAAGAAAACTCAGCAATGACTAGTGGGTCAGGCAGGTCAGGATCTTTCAACTTGTCAACACACCGCAGGACCCGACTATGAGACCCATCCTTAACCATATTCAAACCTGCACCCACAGAAGGAGGCGCAGTGGTCTTTGCCAAGTCAACACCCAAAGTAACATCACGTGAAGCTTGGAGAGCCCCATCCGCAATAGACCCAAGTCCAATAACATCACTTACCTGATCCCCCTTGTCCATTGGCAACTGAGACCCGTTAACTGGTTCCACAAACATGCCCGAAGGCCCGCTAAGCGAACAAGAACTATTGACTCTAATTTGATGCCACAAATCATGAACACAAATATTAAATCTATAATCTTGTAATAATATACCACAAATCATAATTAAAGGTTTATTAGCATGATTTGTGGCATTATCTTGGAGTCAACAGTTATAAAATTATAAATGGATTTGATATTCAGCATACATTTCATTTTGCATCTTAAAATGAGAATTGACTGTCATTTTAGTAGGTATCTTCATCTTATTCTTTGGATTGTGTTTATCTCCATTATTTCTTTTTTTTAAATATATAATTCATTAATTATAATATCAAACATTACAAATACTCATAGATCAAAAGCTTGGATGATCTTTCATACAAAAATATCTAATATTATTTCTTTTATTTTTAGTTTTATTATTAAAAAAAAAAAAAAAACTCCTCTATTTCAAATTCTAACTCTTAGTAGTTGTTGGTGTTTGACATGAATTCCAATTTCCATAAAGTTAAAGGCATTAATTAATTAACTGATTTGATAATTTTGCATTTCATCACTTACCCATCTCATATCTATAATGAAATTCAATGAACATCGATCAATATTGGTGAACTAGTTAACGTGGTTAATGACATAATTTAACACCAACATCGCATCATAAAGATTGAGAATACTTCTAAATAATGAATTCAGATCAAAAAGAAGCTTTTAGAGATATATGCACAAACTTGGAATAATTTTATTTCAACTTTCAATAACATATACATAAGGTCAATCGTATATATTATATACATGTACCTCCTTTTGTTTATTTTTTATCATTTCTTTCAGATTATGCTAAAATTACATAATTAGTTGTTAACTTTGCCACTGCTTCTAGGAAAAGGGATTGCATCTCTAACATCAGGAATGGCAGTAGCAAACAGAACCAAAAGATCAAACCAAGCACTAAAACCAGATGTTTTAACTGTTCCATGCCTTCGCAGATCTAAGTACCATTCATACTGCTCTCTTGCCAACCCTAGTTCATTTATCCTGCAACCAAGTTAATTAATTAGAAACAAACATTCAAGAATTTTTTTATAGAAACAAACATTCAAGAATTTTTTTATCTTAAATTCTAAAAACTTATGTATGCATATGTACTTATAATCTTAAGAAACAAATTAGTATTACCTTGTATTTAGCATATTGAAACGTTCCTCATTTTGGGTTCCAGTGATCAATATTCCACCCTGCAAAAAAATTCGGAAAAAAAAAATCCCATCCACTTTTATGAATACTCTTTACATATTAAACTAGGATTTGAATTTTCTTTTTCTTTTATTTTTTTTAGCTTACCTTGGGTATAATCATGTCAAATGCTGCAACTGTTTGCCCATCATCGTTTAAGCGTGCATAAAACGGTTTAAGTCCTTTAGGATAATTGTATATAATTACAGGCTTCCTACTGTAGATTTCATCGGTCAAACAACTGCCAATCCGTTAAATATAATGTAAGTACCAAAAGATGACAGTGTATCCACCTGACAAATGTAAGATATTTCACTTCATACCTTAGATGTTGGGATGTTAGAGGAGCATCCCATTCGGGCTGAATATCAAATTTTCTATCAGTAACCTACTTGACAAAATTCAAAACATTTTGGTAAACTTGTTAGAGGTTAATGTATTTGTTAGTACTGTAATGAAATGGATTGATGCAACTAACTTGCCTTTTTCAGAATGTTCACTGCTTCCATGTAAGTGATCCTTTCATATGCACATCGTGACATTGCTTCAAGAAGATTGATTCTGTTTTTGTCAATACGTTTGGAAATAAATTTCATGTCTTCTGAACAATTTTCTAAAACCCATTTGCAGAGGAACTTGAAGTAGTCTTCCGCACAGTTCATTGCATCCTGAGAAACCCAAGAAACAATAGAAATCCGTTAGTTGCTGAAACAACAGTACTAAACATATCGTTCATACTGAAAGAAACCGTTGATTTTTACACCTCTAATTGGGAAAAGGCAATTTCAGCTTCAACTATCCACATCTCTGGCAATTGTTTAGCTGATCCTCTTCTATCTGCTCGAAATCTGGGTCCAAAAGCGTAGACATTGCCAAGAGCAGAAGCATAGCTTTCCAGATGAAGGAGACCAGAAACAGTTAAATAAGTCTGTTGAGAAAAGAAATCTTCAGGAACATGAACTTCACTAGCCTTGCTTAAAGTTTCTGATTTCAGTTTTCTTTTTGCTTCTATTAGTGATGCCAATTGAGTTATTTTTAGCAAATCCTCTTCGGCCGCAAGCAAAGCCTCTCTATTGCTATCACTTCTCTTGAGTTGTTGAACCAAAGTATTCTTCTCTTTTAATGCAGCCTTGACAGTTTCAAAACTAACACCTTCAGTATCATCAGTAGTAATCTTGGGATACTCCTTTTTAACTTCTGTTCCAGAAAGAGTTGTAACTCGAAACTTCTCGCTAAATCCTTCACCATCTGTGATTGTTATGATGGGAACTTGCACACTGAGAAACCCATTATTTTGGAAGAATGTGTAAGTTGCAAAAGTCAGGGCACTTCGGATTCGCATAACAGATGCCACCTACATAGTGTACAAAAAAAAAACATCAACATGAAAAACAAAATTGCAAATTTATTTCATAAATTTTTGGGGATAACAGATTGCAATTGCAACTCACAGTAGTAGTTCGGGGCCGAAAATGGGAACAGTCTCTCAAGGTCTCCAATGGCAATCGCTTCCTTGATAATGGATATTTGTCCTCTTCTATTGTTCCTATATGATGAATTTTCTCTGCTTTAAACTCAATACCACGTTTTCCTACCGTTGATAAAACTTTCAGGACACCTTCAGCTAATATACAAGTTCCAATAGGCAGAGATCGGATGGGAAAACCTTCAGACAACTCTATAATAACCTGAAAAATTTTTGACATATGTCAAACATTTGGCTTTGATAGTATTGGATTCAATAAAACTCAAGCATGTAAAATAAAACTTGATTCAGCTCAGTTCGAGTTAAAGTACCTGAAGAGTTGCAACACAAGAACCATCGCTAACAAGCAAGTTAACGATTGAAGACAAAGCTGGTTTAGGTATAGAGGTTACAGGCTGCTGAGGCTCCAACTTTGCACGAATTGGGTTGCTTCCCCCACCACCAAAAATCTTTGCTATTGACCTAATTAAAGGTAGACGAGTTTGAAGAATCTCCATGCAGCTTACATCTTTATGCCCTGGAGAGACAATATCGCTTTCATGACCCTCTGCTAATGATGATGGCAGAGAGTCTTTTTTCACCTCCTTAAAAGACTTAACCCACCCTCCTATCACAACTCTTTCTCCTGCCAAGCCAACCCCACCATCGTCTCGTTCTAGTATGGTTTTAAGGACTACTCTTTTCGAGTACTTAAATGGTGGGATCAGAGGAAGCTGGGAATCTCCTGCTTCTTGAGATGTCGTTTTCTGTTCTTGTGGTGTCGTTTTGGGTTCTTGAGCTTCCGTTTTAGATTTTTCAGAGAGAATAGTAGGTTCTTGGGATGCCATTTTTTTGGATTAAGAAAAGTTGTGGGTTTTCTGAATTGGGAATTGGAAAGTGAATGGATTATGCTGAAACAGATTAAGGGAAATGGTGGTTGTGGCGATAATGATATAGAAGAAGAAGGATGCTTTGCTTTGGAATTGATTTCTTGAAGAAGGAAGAGAATGGGAGGAAAGGAAAGGGATTAATTGTTTCAGAGATTTGATATCAAATATAGAAATTTTATTTAGAGTGAAAGAAAGGGAGAAACGTGAGCGGCAAAGTTTGGTATTCTTCAAGGCTGGACATTCGCGGGAACTTAAAAGTCAAACTGCCAACCCAAAACAGAGGCAACGTTCAAATGGGCTTTCTCTTTTGGGCTCAGCAACAAATTTGTGGCCCAAGTGTGTGTACATGCATACAGTCTCCTTTCTTATTTGCTTTCTTTATTTATTTTTATTTTGGATAATTTGATCTGGACTTATTGGACTCTAAAAAGAATCTAATCATGTTTTATTTTTCAAATAGATATTGATATATTTATTTTTACTAAGGTAAATCAAACACAATTACAAAATAAATAACCAATTTTTTTTTTTCTTTTCAAATTTAAATTAGTCAGTAGACTTAAGTAATCAAACCAACCATATTTAATGCACCATTTTAATGATAAAATGTCATGTCTGTGTCGTTTGACAATGCATGTTGACAAAGAAAGTACATAATTGTAGGTTTTAGGCAAATTTTGAATAAAAGTAAGATATCTGACCATTGTCTGAATGTACCTAAAGACATTATTACATAAGATAGCACGCCCTAATTAAACCAAATATACTGTTATAAGTGAAGTTGGTTGGCAAAAATTGACCAATCGTTTGATGAAGTATTAAATAAAATGAAATAAAATCTTATAAAAATAATTGAAATTCAATTATAAAACTCATTTAAACTTGCCCATTGCAATAATTATTGTGTGTAGGGACAGAAACCGTATTCCTCAATTTTGAATTACCCATATTCAAGTCCATTTAAAATTTTAATAAGGCTAAAATATATACAAACAGTCATGTGTATATATATATATATCTTATGATACCTCAAAATTTAATAGGCACTTATTATATCTTTAAGGTTAAGGATTTAGTGATATTGCACATTTCTCTACACTAGTAATATTAATTTTTGAAATTTTTATTTTTTTTAAACAAATTATTAATTGGATATATAGTTAGTATAACTTTTGAAATAATAATTTTCAATTTTTTTAACATCTAATAAAAACTAAAGTTGCTTATCACTCCAATCAATATTGCTGATCATATATTCCACCATTTTAATAATCATATATTCTTCAAGTTTATTGAAAATTTCTTTTAAAACACGTGTTCAAATCCCTTTACCTTATGTTGAAAATCCACTTTAAATAGAGGATTAAACTTACCAAGATATGATATGTGTTCTAACTCATGGACAAATCCAATGGAAATAAAAATTTTTTAAAAATTATAAGTACTTTATCTTTTTTTTTCTTTTTCTTTTTTTTTTTTTTTTTTTTTTTTTTTTTTTTGGCTAATGTGTAATCAAAAAGTACTATCATTTTCAATTAAAAAATCATTTTCACGATGGCGTTCACTATGGGCTTTTGAAGGTAATAGCTCACTTGGGTTAGAGCTATAGTTTACATTAACAGGTGCGAATTTTGCGATCCATTACCAAAGTATCGCATCCACTGCATTTCTTATTGATGCAATAGTCGAGATATAAATTACTAAGAGTCGTTTTGTGTAGGAAGAGGACAACCACATCTCTATGGCTGCCTTATTTCCGGGACATGGAGTGCGCTCTTTCCTCGTTTTATGGTTCATAAATGAGCTCATAGATTGATCTAGGCAAATCAATCCCTTAAACAAATCAGGAAGTATCGACGTTTTGGAAAAAATAAAATACTGCCCCTCTTCTTCCCTAATTGTGGTGTTGATCGTGAAAACTTACCCAATTTACCCAATTACAGTAACTTTTATTGTTCCAAAACATATATGCATAGATAGAGTCCATAAAGATCGAATGTCTTAAAGTTATGGAAAGCGAGGAGATGAGACAGGGGAGCATTCCCGATGCCTCTAAACAAAGAAAGACAAGAGGATTAATATACAGGGTTAGAGTATTTTATTTTGGGTATGTCGAAACTTGGTGGTTCTCTTCTATATAATATATTTACTCGTTGGAGTGGGGCATCAGGTTTTCCTACCCCTCAAAGCCCTTTGCGTTGGGTGGTGGGTGAGATATAATGTCTCTTCTTCACCTCATACAAACTCAATCATATATATTCTACTACCATGCAGCATTATGAAAAAAATCAAAATGATCTCTAATTCACTAGAATTCCAATTTAACCCCTTGCAAATCGTATTTTGGAGAAAACAAAACGAACGAAAGAATAAGGGGGCCTTTTTGGTTAAGTTTTCAAAATAAGAGCAGGCAATTCTGTCGGCGGTTTTTAAAAAGTCTTTTGGGGTCCCTTCTGAGTTTTTACTCAGTCTATCTTTTATTGTCATTTAATTGAACCACAACTCTCTAATCTCTTCTTCTTGTCTCCTGTCTCAATATTTTCTTTCTTTCTTTTTCTTTCTTTCTTGCTTCATGATTACCAAAAGTCCTTCAATCCATATAAAGAGAAGAGAAAAGGAAACATGGCAAATATTAAACGTATGCAAACTTACTCTTTCTCTCGCCTTGTTCCTTGCAAGCATATTGTTACTCAAGCGTTTATAAACCAATCCCAACTTTGCTTACCAATTCTTTTAAATTTTACTTCTCTTTCTTATTATTAATTTTTCTCATATTGTTAATATTGTAAGAACATAATTTCACTTAGTTCTTAATTTTCTTGCATTGTATTACAAGTATAGAATCTACTGTATCTTATTCTTCATTTGTGTTTGCTGTTGCCAAGAATATATTTATATATTGTAATATTTCTCTTTTTTTATTTTTCTTTCTCTCCGTAATCCATTCAGACTGTAATTGCTTAATTAAATGGAAATTGATATTATTAATATCTAATATTGTATATGTTGCAGGAATCCAGAATTACTCAAACAATAATACTACGTTTATCATCAATACAGGTAAGATTAATTAACAAGATTTTTTCATCGCAAGAATTTTTTTTTTCTTTTTAATTCACCTGGGACTGTATTTAAACTCGGCATATCTTCCAAAAACTGAGTTGAGTGTCAGTATCACTTATTCAAAAATATGAATATGTTTACAAATTCAAGAAATAATTTTTTTTTAAAAATATTATTATAATATTGTTAATTGATTTTGTTGTTAATCTTTTTAGGAACATTTTTGATTTGAAAACTTAAAAATTGTGCAGGGTGGCAGTAAAGAAGAGAGGTTCAAAAGCTAATCAAGGAGACTTTTGATTGATAGGATCAACAGTCTCCAACATGCACTTACAAATGCAGTGTAGAGGCATGCAAATTACAAGTGTAGGGCTGGAGCAATCAGTTCCTGTGGAAGAAATGGCACCCAATCAACTGAGTGCATATCACTACAAGTGTGTTTGTCATAGGTTGATATAATATTTTTTATTTTCTATATTTCTTGTTCTGTGGTGGTGAAATTTTTTAAAAAATTTATAAATTAGGTGTCTTAGCATCCAATTGGATGCATAAATTTTTGCCTTTATTCCAATGTCATATGTTATAATTTCTGAGGAAAAATATTCCTAAGTTCTTCTTCTTCTCAATTATTATGTATTTTCTTTCTATCTCTTTTTGTTATTAACAGAAGAAAATAAAAGTAGCCAATTTTAGAATCCTTGCTTTTTTTAATTTGAGGTTTGTGTTCCGCGACTCTTTTATTAAGTAGTTTTAGCATTTTGGGACTAAATGTTTATTCTAAATAGGTCAGTAACATGAATATTTAAATTAATTTTAGAAATTAAAGCAGGTGTTGCGCGAGTGTGAAAAAGGTTTAACTCATATAACTTTCAATTTTTAGTATTTTATGCAAAAAAGCTACCTCAAACAGCTTAAACTGCTGTAAACACCCAAAACCTTAACAAAACAGTAAGTATCTACCGATATAACTAATTTGCTAAATAGCCCCTAGTATTAGAATTATTTTGAACTTTTTATATTAAAATATTTATATTTTAAATTTTGAAATTGAATTACATGGATTATTGCAATCAAACATGAAAAGGAAGAGAATGAATAGGTTGGAGAAATATAATTTAAAGTTAGAAGCAAATTTAATTAAAATGATGGAGTTTCTAGAAAATAAAAGATAAATGGCATTTGAAAGGTCGGTAAAAATTAGAAAGAAGAAATGGAAGGTGGAAGATTCTGCAATCTGCAATCTGCAAATGAGGTACATTTGGGAGTGTTCCAAAATTAAAGATATTAAAGAAAAACAAAGGAATCACATTGGGCCAGCTTTGTTTGAAAACACCAATTAAATTGCTCCAAGGGAAATCTTGAAAAATTGGTAATTAATGCCCAGGGAAGGATAATTAGGGTTTGAATGACCCAACTCTTATATTTTTTGGTTTTCAATTTTTAACTGTACAAAATAAAAGAAGCAAGATGCTGCCAATTTCGCCAAACTTTTGAATGCATTTGGCCTTCTTTAGCACTTTTCACTTTCCTTAGACAACCTCTTTCTGCCCACTTGTTTTTGAAATACACTTTTCTTGGTGCCGGAATTTTTCACATGCTAGCTGCCATGTTTAAGATCTATTTCATGGACTCGGAAAGATCCCCGAACCGCCCGACTCTTTTCACGACTCACACTTAGTATTGGCTCTAGGGCTTCATTTTAATTTACGTTACTTCCAATTACAAAAACTAAATCAATAATTGTAATGTGTTGGGATAAACTACATGAATCCATTTCATTTTCGTCGTACAGGATGTCAAGAGCAGTGCTTGTCTTTCGAGATAATGCCCTATCATGTGGATTTTAGATGTATCTTAAACTTTTAATTAAACGGGATCAATCCATTTCAATAATAATAAAAAAAAAATGAATTCAATGTTTCTTAAAATATAATTAAACATTAAAAAATATTATAATTTTCCTTCAACGAGTTTCAATATTCTTTTTAAAATCATTTTTATCCACATCCATGGTACACTATCACATCATGACTTTACTTATTCAGCCTTTGACGTGCACC